TGCTTAAATCTTTGTATTGGTCTTCCGATGAACAATCAATTTGTAGTTGTTGTCTCTTCAAATCTAAGGAGGCTATTGCTCTATGAGGTATCAGTTCAAACTGCTTCAGCAACCTCTAATTGCTCAAAAAATGACCAATAAAGAGCTACACAAAAACATTATGTGAAGGTTATAATGTTAACGACTTCTATTTACAATGGAATTACCAATGGAAGCCAGTTACTCAGTATATGTCGACAAGGGCTAGATCGGAGCTATCATTCACAGATTAATAACATTGGCCATCATAGCCTCTTTTTTTCCCCAAGATGCACTTGGTCCCTTTGATAGGGCCTCTCAGGTACAAGCTAATCCAGGGGCCGTCTCAGTCAACATGCCCGGCAAACACTCTGTAAGTAATAAACTCGCAGATTCAATTAAATGTGTGACGTGACTAATGGTCAATTAATGTTTAGTGGGGCTGTGCACTCTTTCAATAACTACAATAATAGCCCTGTCCTCTCCCCTGGGCCCCAACATGCATCTGGCTTATAGGGAACACTTTTCCTCACCATGCTGATTCCCATCGATAGAAAATGTATCCTCCCTGATTGTCAATTGATCGTAATCTGTTAACACTTGCACTGTTGATGAGAGGGACAGAGGGACTCTATTACAAAAGCTTTGGAAAATACAAAAGTGGTTCTATATAATTCAGGTGGGGAATAAACCCACAGTGAACAAATATGTGAAGATATCAATATCTTCATTGGCCCACCATACACAGTATACCCTGCTTGTAAGTGACTTTGCAGGCTGTGGAGTGCTGGGAGATTACCCCCTCTGTCTCAGTCCTATTGAGATCCCGCTGCTGCTCCTAAATCAAATCAAAGATTATTTGTCACCTACACAGTTTATAGCATGTATAAACGGTGCAGCGAAATTATTACTTGCAAGCTCCCTCAACAGTGCAGTATAAATATCAATATCAATTAAAGTCGAATAAAAAATAACAAGTAAGTAGAAGAAAGTAGTATGTATAACTGATATATACACAATAGGATATCCAGTTTAAATTATGAATGTACTATGTGAAGTATGACTGAGAAATATGTTAGTCTTACAGTTTCATTATCGTTATACAATACATATGTAGGACAAATCATCAGAAATAGGGTATTGTAGAGCATGTTGGCTACTGTAAAAACGTAGCACGGTGTTGTATGCCATTTCTGCCCCATGCAACATAGTACAAGATCACCTTTTCTAGTTGACGTGTGAACTGATACAGTATCGCCTGTCTCTCTGCCTGAAATTCATCAGCTTACAGTGTATCAATGAAATTCAGATACTTTTTAGAATATTGTTATATACAACCCAGGTATTTCCGCAGTGCATTGTACACTACACTATAAATCCAAATGGTAGCACATCGAGTGACTCTTTCCACTTTGTACTATTGAAGCACACTGGTTGATAGAGAATGATTATACAGTATTTACAGCCACATCCATATTAGATTTGGTTTTACCTTTCAACATAAATTGATGTCAAATGTATACATTTATGAGGTATAAATATAGAAATGGACAGTTATCAAACTATATACACTACTGGTCCAAAGTTTGAGAACACCTACTCATTCAAGGGTTTTTCTTTATTTGTACTATTTTCTACATTGTAGAATAATAGTGAAGACATCAAAACTATGAAATAACACATATGGAATCACATAGTAACCAAAAAACTGTTAAACAAACCTAAATATATTTGAGATTTGAGATTCTTCAAATAGCAGCCCTTTGCCTTGATGACAGCTTTGCACACTCTTGGCATTCTCTCAGCTTCAAGAGGAAAGCTTTTCCAACAGTCTTGAAGGAGTTCCCACATATGCTGAGCACTTGTTGGCTGCTTTTCCTTCACTCTGCGCTCCGACTTATCCCAAACCATCTCAATTTGGTTGAGGTTGGGGGATTGTGGAGGCCAGGTCATCTGATGCAGCACTCCATCACTCTCCTTCTTGGTCAAATAGCCCTTACACAGCCTAGAGGTTTGTTGGGTCATTGTCCTGTTGAAAAACAAATGATAGTCCCACTTAGCCCAAACCAGATGGGATGGTGTATCACTGCAGAATGCTGTGGTAGCCATGCTGGTTAAGTGTGCCTTGAATTCTAAATAAATCACAGACAGCGTCACCAGCAAAGCACCCCCACACCATAACACCTCCTCCTCTATGCTTTACGGTGGGAAATACACATGCAGAGATCATCCGTTCACCCACACCGCGTCTCACAAAGACACGGCGGTTGGAACCAAAAATCTCCAATTTGGACTCCAGACAGAAGGATACATTTCCACCAGTCTAATGTCCATTACTCCTGAGTGGCGCAGTGGTCTAAGGCACTGCATAACTGTGCCACTAGAGATCCTGGTTCGAATCCAGGCTCTGTCGCAGCCGGCCGCGACCGGGAGACTCATGGGCGGCGCACAATTGGTCCAGGGTAGGGGAGGGAATGGCCGGCAGGGATGTAGCTGTTGATAGAGCATGGCGTTTGCAACGCCAGGGTTGTGGGTTCGTTTCCCACGGGGGGCCAGTATAAAAATGTATTCACTAACTGTAAGTCGCTCTGGATAAGAGCATCTGCTAAATGACTGTAATGTAAATGTAATTGCTCGTGTTTCTTGGCCCAAGCAAGTCTCTTCTTATTATTGGTGTCCTTTGGTAGTGGTTTCTTTGCAGCAATTCAACCATGAAGGCCTGATTCACACAGTCTCCTCTGAACAGCTGATGTTGAGATGTGTATGTTACTTGAACTCTGTGAAGCATTTATTTGGGCTGCAATTTCTGAGGCTGGTAATTCTAATGAATTTATCCTCTGTGGTGGTCCTCATGACAGTTCCATCATAGCGCTTGATGGTTTTTGCGACTGCACTTAAAGAAACTTTCAAAGTTCTTGAAATGTTCCGTATTGACTGACCTTCCTTCATGTCTTAAAGTAATGATGGCCTGTCGTTTCTCTTTGCTTATTTGAGCTGTTCTTGCCATAATATGGACTTGTTATTTTACTAAATAGGGCTATCTTCTGTATACCCCCCTAACTTGTCAAAACACAACTGATTGGCTCAAACGCATTAAGAAGGAAACAAATCCAACAAATTAACTTTTAAGAAGGCACACCTGTTAATTGAAATGCATTCCAGGTGACTACCTCATGAAGCTGGTTGAGAGAATGCCAATAGTGTGCAAAGCTGTCATCAAAGCAAAGAGTGGCTATTTGAAGAATCTCAAATATAAAATATATTTTGATTTGTTTAACCGTTTTTTGGTTACTACGTGATTCCATATGTGTTATTTCATAGTTTTGATGTCTTCACTATTATTCTACAATGTAGAAAATAGTCAAAGTAAAGAAAAACCCTTGAATGAGTAGGTGTTCTAAAACTTTTGACCGGTAGTGTACATTAACTAGACACTACATACTTTGTTTCAGTAGTTATCAGTTTTGGACAGTTTGATTAAAGGGAATGCACAGTGAAAACTGCACTTATATTGAAGTTAATTAGCATTTTAACTAAGGCAAAACAAATCTTCGAACAAAGTCTGAAAAATCTATATTACTGCTCTGTCTTTTGAGCTGTATCTTAAAATCCAATCACGTGACTAGAGTCTGAATCACACGGTTTTGCTTTGCCTCAGGTGAGGTGATGTCAGCTCACTTACTCATTTTAATACGTCCGATGATATGCTTTGTATATACTTCATTCCCCACCCTAATTTGAATGTGTACAGCGCATTACCTGTCAGTCCCCACCATATCTTTGGATTCAGCAAGCAACAGGTCAGATAGCTAGCTAGTTACCGGTAAGCAAAAATGGCTCGTTACTGTGTCTTTGGCTCTAAAAGCAATTTACAGCAGTTGTTTAACTTCCCCAAAAAGGAAGATTTAAGGGAGAAGTGGGTTACATTCATTTCCCAAGCTCAGGATGCACCGAAGTTGACCACAAAGAGTGCCATTTGCAGAGCACATTTTGGGGTATGCCAAGTTTCTTGTACTGAAGCCTGATGCAGTTCCAACACTTGAGTTGCCACTGACAGTCCCAGAAGCAAGCGTGGATCACCATGTACGGGTAAGTAGCTAATGTATTTGTCAATATTGAGCTAACATTAGCTCCGACATGAACCTCCATATCCTTGCTTTCACTGAGCTAACATTAGCTGGCTAACTTAACTAGCAAGCCAAATATCTGACTCAAGAGAAGATGTTTTACAATCAGATTTGTATGCATCTGTTTTGGTGCATAACAGATCAAAATCTGATTATAAAGCATTTTCTCTTTGAATCTTAGGGCTAGCTAGCCCTTCATCATGACTCTCAGTCAGGTAAAAGACCAAGTTCATATTATGGCAAGAACAGCTCAAATAAGCAAAGAGAAACAACAGTCCATCATTACTTTAAGTCATGAAGGTCAGTCAATCAGGAAAATTTCAAGAACTTTGAAAGTTTCTTCAAGTGCAGTCGCAAAAACCATCAAGCGCTATGATGAAACTGGCTCTCATGAGGACCGCCACAGGAAAGGAAGACCCAGAGTTACCTCTGCTGCAGAGGATAAGTTCATTAGAGCTAACTGCACCTCAGATTGCAGCCCAAATAAATGCTTCATAGAGTTCAAGTAACAGACACATCTCAACATCAACTGTTCAGAGGAGACTGTGTGAATCAGGCCTTCATGGTCGAATTGCTGCAAAGAAACCACTACTAAAGGACACCAATAATAAGAAGAGACTTGCTTGGGCCAAGAAACACGAGCAATGGACATTAGACCGGTGGAAATTTATCCTTTTTGAGATATTTTTTTGTTGAAATTTGAGAATTTTGGTTCCAACCGCGTGTCTTTGTGAGACGCAAAGTAGGTGTTATGATGAGTTTCTGGAATCGAGAAGTTCAGGATGCAAGAGAGTAGTCGACACTTAGATGGAGATTTGATTCAGTCATTATTTAATGGTAACAGTACTGGATTCAATGACACGCGGTACGGACGTAGCCTCCTGCCATCTGAATGACTTCCATAGAAAATCTCTCACTTTATATAATGCTCTCCGAGCTAACAGCGCCACCTAGCCCACAGACTTAGGAAACATCCCAATGAGATATAAGGAAATCCCCATTTACAGTGAGCTCCATAATTCATTGGACAGTGACATTTTTTTTGTTATTTTGGTTCTGTACTCTAGCACTTTGAGTTTGAAAGGATACAATGACAATGAGGGTATAATTTGAGGGTATTTTCATACATATCGGATGAACCATTTAGAAATGACAGCACCTTTTGTACATGGTCCCCCCATTTTAAGGTACTACAAGTATTTGTTAAATTGGCTTCACAGATGTGTGTCGTTAGGCAGGTGTATTCATTTGTGTCGTTAGTGAATTACATTTACATTTACATTTACATTTTAGTCATTTAGCAGACGCTCTTAACCAGAGCGACTTACAGGAGCAATTAGGGTTAAGTGCCTTGCTCAAGGGCACATTAACGTCATTTAGCAGACGCTCTTAGCCAGAGCGACTCACAAATTGGTGCGTTCACCCTATAGCCAGTGGGATAACCACTTTACAATTTGGGGGGGGGGGGGGGGGGGGGGGTTAGAAGGAATACTTTATCCTATCCCAGGTATTCCTTAAAGAGGTGGGGTTTCAAATGTCTCCGGAAGGTGGTGAGTGACTCCGCTGTCCTGGCGTCGTGAGGGAGCTTGTTCCACCATTGGGGTGCCAGAGCAGCGAACAGTTTTGACTGGGCTGAGCGGGAGCTATGCTTCCGCAGAGGAAGGGGAGCCAGCAGGCCAGAGGTGGATGAACGCAATGTCCTCGTTTGGGTGTAGGGACTGATCAGAGCCTGAAGGTACAGAGGTGCCGTTCCCCTCACTGCTCCATAGGCAAGCACCATGGTCTTGTAGCGGATGCGAGCTTCAACTGGAAGCCAGTGGAGTGTGCGGAGGAGGGGGGTGACGTGAGAGAACTTGGGAAGGTTGAACACCAGACGGGCTGCGGCATTCTGGATGAGTTGTAGGGGTTTAATGGCACAGGCAGGGAGCCCAGCCAACAGCGAGTTGCAGTAGTCCAGACGGGAGATGACAAGTGCCTGGACCAGGACCTGCGCCGCTTCCTGTGTAAGGCAGGGTCGCACTCTCCGAATGTTGTAGAGCATGAACCTGCAGGAGCGGGTCACCGCCTTGATGTTGGCGGAGAACGACAGGGTGTTGTCCAGGGTCACGCCTAGGCTCTTCGCACTCTGGGAGGAGGACACAGCGGAGTTGTCAACCGTGATGGCGAGATCATGGAACGGGCAGTCCTTCCCCGGGAGGAAGAGCAGCTCCGTCTTGCCAGGGTTCAGCTTGAGGTGGTGATCCGTCATCCATACTGATATGTCTGCCAGACATGCAGAGATGCGATTCGCCACCTGGTTATCAGAAGGGGGAAAGGAGAAGATTAGTTGTGTATCGTCAGCGTAGCAATGATAGGAAAGGCCATGTGAGGATATGACAGAGCCAAGTGACTTGGTGTATAGGGAGAAAAGGAGAGGGCCCAGAACCGATCCCTGGGGGACACCAGTGGTGAGAGCACGTGGTGCGGAGACAGCTTCCCGCCACGCCACTTGGTAGGAGCGACCGGTCAGGTAGGACGCAATCCAGGAGTGAGCCGCGCCGGAGATGCCCATCTCGGAGAGGGTGGAGAGGAGGATCTGATGGTTCACAGTATCAAAGGCAGGAGAGCTGTTGATGAATAGTATTGATTCTAGACTTTGCTATTGCCTTTGGAGGTTGTTGTTGGGTCTGACAACATGAGGAAGACAGCAGTGTCAATGCAAATGAAGCTGGCCGTCATAAGGCTCAGAAACGAAAATCAGGAAATTCAGGAACATTGCAAAAACCCTGGCCATGCCCAAGTCAACAGTTTGGTTCATCATTAACAAGAAAAAAACAACCGGTGAACTCAATTATGTCAAAAAACCCGGTAGACCGAGGAAGACCACTGTAGTGGATGACCGGAGAATACTCTCTATGTTGAAGAAAACCCCCCTGACAACAGCCCAACAGATCAAAAACACTCTCCTGGATGCAGGTGTAGATGTGTCAAAGTCTACCATACGTAGAAGACTACACCAGCAGGACTACAGAGATTACACTACAAGATGCAAACCACTGATAAGCCTGAAGAACAGAAAGGCGAGATTACAGTTTGCTAAAAAGCACCTAAAAGAGCCCCAAGAGTTCTGGAAAAAAGTATTGTGGACAGATGAGACAAAGATTAACATGTACCAGAGTGATGGAAAGTATGGAGAAAAAAATGAAATGCCCATGATCCAAAGCATACCACTTCATCCGTGAAACATGGTGGAGGGGGTGTTTTGGCTTGGGCCTGTATGGCTGCCAGTGGAACAGGCTCACTTGTCTTCATCGATGATGTGACTGCAGACAGAAGTAGAACAATGAATTCTGAAGTCTACAGAAATATTTTATCTGCTCAGATAAAACCAAATGCCTCCAAACTCATTGGACGGCACTTCATCATGCAACAAGACAATTACCCTAAACATACTGCCAGAGCAACGAAGGGGTTTTTGATGGTCAAAAAGTGGAAAATCCTTGACTGGCCGAGTCAATCACCAGATCTGAATCCAATTGAACATGCATTTTACATGCTGAAGAGGAGACTGAAGGCAATAAGTCTCCGAAACAAGCAGGAACTGAAGATGGCTGCAGTACAGGCCTGGCAGAGCATCACCAGGGAAGATACCCAGCGTCTGGTGATGGCGATGCATCGCAGACTTCAAGCAGTCATTGCATGCAAAGGATATGCAACCAAATATTAACAATGATTACTTTATTCTACATTATGTTAAACTGTCCAATGTTTTTTGATGCCCGAAAATGGGTGGACCATGTATAAAAGCTTCTATAATTCCTAAACGGTTCATCCGATATGTATGAAAATACCCTAAAATTAAAGCTGACAGTCTGCACTTCACCCCCATTGTATCCTTTCAAACTCAAAGTGCTAGAGTACAGAACCAAAATAACAAAAAAATGGTCACTGTCCAATGAATTATGGAGCTCACTGTAAATCATTGAAAACATTCAATTATAATCCTACCTCACATCAATAATCGTTTGTTTCAATCTAATTCCTCATAACTACTCCAGAAGAGTACATAAAATCTCTCAAAAGATGAAAACCACTCAAGATTCTTTGAGTTTACAATGAGTTTTTTTTAATGATTACTCTTTATACCTCATTCCTTTTAAGTCTCACAATGATTATCACCTCCAAAATCAGCTTCATTTTATCCCATATCAAATCATCATGGTGTCGTTACTGGATGACTTACCCCTTAGATTGTTCCTGTCACCCCTCTAAACATACTATTTGAGACATTCACAAATATAATCACTTACTACGCATAAAGAATCAATGATATTCCAAGCGTCTATTAAAAAGTTGTTTGAGACCATCTCCTACACATTCTTTAACATACCACGTTTCATTGAGTTGACTACACCTTCTCTCTAAACCTATAACCCCTTTTTGGTAATGTAATCATCTCCACTTGTTGCATTGATGTTTTAAAATACCAACCTATTGTTTAATAACTTCAGAACGTAAATTTTTTTTTACTATTCCTTCAGCCTAATAGTAATAACTACCTCCCATTGTTCAACGTACCAGAAACAGATGATCGTTTAAGAATTAATTAACTTTCTGCATAACTCACTGGTGTTTAAACAAACTATAGAATTTAATAATAATAATTACAAATTGTCACAGAACGTTCCCTATTAAACTGTCTAGATGTCTGCTCCACATTACCCTCTGCGTCCTTTACATCCCGATATAGCACAACTAGCACGACTCTCTTTCACCCGTTTACTAAATCATGGCATTAGTCAATTATATCCACAAACCACTACTACATAATAACATATTTTCATTGACCTTTCTAGAAATAATTATTTTAATACCAGTCTACTTAAACAATCCAATGCAACATTTCTCATCTCCCAATTAACCTACTTTCTTTTTAACACAGAAAACCCTCTACAATCTCTTTTATCCTCTACCGCTGTCTTTCTATCTAACGGTATTTTAGCAGGTTACAAATTATTGTTAAGTTATAGTCAAAACACATAAAACCTCTATTCACAGAGATGCCACTTTAATGACCTCCCGAGTGGCGCAGTGGTCTAAGGCACTGCATCGCAGTGCTAGCTGTGCCACTAGAGATCCTGGTTCAAATCCAGGCTCTGTCGTAGCCGGCCGCGACTGGGAGACCCATGGGGCGGCGCACAATTGGCCCAGGGTAGGGGAGGGAATTGCCGGCAGGGATGTAGCTCAGTTGGTAGAGCATGGCGTTTGCAACACCAGGGTTGTGGGTTTGATTCCCACGGGGGGCCAGTATGAAAAATAAAAAAATTATATATGCACTCACTTACTGTAAGTTGCTCTGGATAAGAGCGTCTGCTAAAATATACTATGTTATCCTATCCGTCATGGGTTGGTAGGATAATCTTATCAATTAAACAGTTTTGCTTCCTTGCCTACATGGGCTTCAACCAGGTACCCTCTGCACACATTAACAACAGTCACCCTCGAAGCACCATTACTCGTCATTCAACAAAAGGCGCGACCTTGCAGAGCAAGTCAAAAAACCAATCTAAACTCTACTAGTTAACACCACTAACTAGCTAGCCATATCCCATCGGTAACACCCTTTTGACATCCTTCTCCGGAGCAACCATTGATCCGTGTACACTAAACGTAACCCATAATGACACTTACAGCTCTCTCACGTTCAGCTAACCCCAGTTGCTAACACCCACAGATCAACACCTAGAAACTCTCCAAACAACAAATAAAAACCATTCTCAAACAGCGTTCTGCCTTTCCCTCTATCATAGGGTTAAAACTAACTTGACAACTTTAACAATAGATTGCTCGAGTAGCTTCATGTTTGGTTCAGTTTATCTGTTATGATATTGTGTCAGTAATATCTCTGTAGTGACCTCAGCTACAAGTTCCTATATTCCTCAGTTGATGTTATCTTTCATACTCTGCTCCCTTCCAATACTGCTTCATTATCCGTGGTGTTTTTTTAATACTCTTTTTATTCTCTTTGTCCCCTTGCTTCACTTTCCATTAAGATAAGACACCCGCTTCCCTGTGCGTCGTCCCTATACTATACTATTATTATCCCCTTTATCAACGAAGATAATACCAATCCGCCATTACTAGAAGTCAGCAGATCTGGTAACTGTCCTTTCTAAGTAGGCTACAAGTAATAAACCAAACACTTGCTGTAGTTGACAAGCATATATTGAATTTATATCCATATTATCAATATCCAATTAATTGATAGACGTTACGCCACCATTCTCAATCGTTTAATCTAGCACACCATTATGCAACCCCCAAAAAATGTCTACCTCGAAATCATCTCGCTATTCCTGTTAAATAAGTGAGTCTTTCCATTTGAACCCAGCACGTTGATAAATCTTCCATTCTACATCACCAAACCAAATACTTTGTAGTATCTATCTAAGCAACACATACCAACAGTAGAATTACACTCAGAAACCCAGATTTGTTTACTCTATGCCATTGCCCCAATGCTATTGAAATGACAATGAAATCCCACAAATTGCGCAATTATACTGGCTTATCTTCTCACCATCCGATACAAAACGAAGTTCCTTCACTACATCACCTTACCTCCGCAATGATAATTAGTTTAATGGAAACCCCAAATTGTCTTTGTACTATATTATACGTTATGTCTATAACTTCCACTCCTTATGGGCAGTTCATTTCTTAAACCTTATCTCTATCAAATGATCCATCAACGTCTCAAACTCAGAAAACCTGTATTTATTATTTACCACCCCTGACGTACGTCTACGTTTGGGTGAGCAAGTTAATACATACAGTGAGGGAAAAAAGTATTTGATCCCCTGCTGATTTTGTACGTTTGACCACTGACAAAGAAATGATCAGTCTATAATTTTAATGGTAGGTTTATTTGAACAGTGAGAGACAAAAAAATCCAGATAAACGCATGTAAAAAATGTTATAAATTGATTTGCATTTTAATGAGGGAAATAAGTATTTGACCCCCTCTCAATCAGAAAGATTTCTGGCTCCTAGGTGTCTTTTATACAGGTAAAGAGCTGAGATTAGAAGCACACTCTTAAAGGGAGTGCTCCTAATCTCAGCTCGTTACCTGTATAAAAGACACCTGTCCACAGAAGCAATCAATCAGAATCCAAACTCTCCACCATGGCCAAGACCAAAGAGCTCTCCAAGGATGTCAGGGACAAGATTGTAGACCTACACAAGGCTGGAATGGTCTACAAGACCATCGCCAAGCAGCTTGGTGAGAAGGTGACAACAGCTGGTGCGATTATTCGCAAATGGAAGAAACACAAAATAACTGTCAATCTCCCTTGGCCTGGGGCTCCATGCAAGATCTCACCTCGTGGAGTTGCAATGATCATGAGAATGGTGAGGAATCAGCCCAGCACTACACGGGAGGATCTTGTCAATGATCTCAAGGCAGCTGGGACCATAGTCACCAAGAAAACAATTGGTAACACACTACGTCGTGAAGGACTGAAATCCTGCAGTGCCCGCAAGGTCCGCCAGCTCAAGAAAGCACATATACAGGCCCGTCTGAAGTTTGCCAATTAACATCTGAATGATTCAGAGGAGAATTGGGTGAAAGTGTTGTGGTCAGATGAGACCAAAATCGAGCTCTTTGGCATCAACTCAACTCGCCGTGTTTGGAGGAGGAGGAGGAATGCTGCCTATGACCCTAAGAACACCATCCCCACCGTCAAACATGGAGTTGGAAACATTATGCTTTGGGGGTGTTTTTCTGCTAAGGGGACAGGACAACTTCACCGCAATCAAAGGGACGATGGACGGGGCCATTTACCATCAAATATTGGGTGAGAACCTCCTTCCCTCAGCCAGGGCATTGAAAATGGGTTGTGGATGGGTATTCCAGCATGACAATGACCCAAAACACACGGCCAAGGCAACAAAGGAGTGGCTCAAGAAGAGGCACATTAAGGTCCTGGAGTGGCCTAGCCAGTCTCCAGACCTTAATCCCATAGAAAATCTGTGGAGGGAGCTGAAGGTTTGAGTTGCCAAACGTCAGGCTCAAAACCTTAATGACTTGGAGAAGATCTGCAAAGAGGAGTGGGACAAAATCCCTCCTGAGATGTGTGCAAACCTGGTGGCCAACTACAAGAAACGTCTGACTTCTGTGATTGCCAAAAAGGGTTTTGCCACCAAGTACTAAGTCAAATACTTATTTCCCTCATTAAAATGCAAATAAATGTATAACATTTTTGACAATCTGGATTTTTTTGTTGTTATTCTGTCTCTCACTGTTCAAATAAACCTACCATTAAAATTATAGACTGATCATTTCTTTGTCAGTGGGCAAATGTACAAAATCAGCAGGGGATCAAATACTTTTTTCCCTCACTGTACATATTATTTAAATTATTACTATATCACCTCTCTAGTAATCGATTACACACATAAAATTCATCCTATTTTCACATCGTCACATACTCCATATAGAACGTTAGAAACTCCTAGATACTCACATCAAACAATCCCTTCGTGTTTTGTTTAACGATCCTCACTCAACACAAATCAACTTCTTCAAACATACTCCTATCGGAACCAAAAAAACAGATCAGATTGTAGTTTCAAGGACACTGACCTTCCTGTCATTGTATCCTCACCGGTTCTCTAACCTTCAGAAAACCCCTTCAAAGTCAAGCCTCTCATTAAAACATATACTTCTCCACTACACTTTAACATAACCCACGTTCTCCATACCACTCCTTGATATCATATGATGGGCATTGATGTGGTCCTCTGTAGCTCAGCTGGTAGAGCACGGCGCTTGTAACGCCAAGGTAGTGGGTTCGATCCCCGGGACCACACGTACACAAAAAAATGTATGCACGCATGACTGTAAGTCGCTTTGGATAAAAGCGTCTGCTAAATGGCATATTTGTTTATATTTATGTACGGAACCACAATATAATGTTATATCAAAGCTTATTATCCAAACTTATATCAACTTATCATACACATTCATATAATTTATAGGTCACTGGTTTCATTGACAGGCCTCCTCTACATCCTGCCTTATACCACAAATACAAAACTCTGGTCTCGATAGACTCTTCCACCAAAGGGACCAGAAGTACTGTATGTTAGTTTCCAATGCACGTTCCATGTTTAACGTCTGTTTATGATGAAGATGATTAAATAAGAAGTGATACACACACACATACACATGTCCACACGCATGCACAAACACAAACAAACACAAACCACATACTAAACTAACCTCTCTCTTTTCTCTTTGTCTCTGTAGGTATCTCCATGCCCATTCCTGTCCTAGGCCTGCGGGACCACACCAAGGTGTTCAAAGACGGCAGCTGCCTGCTGAGAGATGACAGTTTTGTCCTGGTGGGCTCCTTCATGGCCTTCTTCGTCCCCCTCACCATCATGGTGGTCACCTACTTCCTGCCCTGCAGACTGAAGCTACCCTCTGCCTGGACCAGCTGGTTCCCCAGCCCAAATGGAGCGCCACCTTGACCCTGGGCTTCTACCCCCAGGCGTCACTCTCCTCAGAGAAGCAATTCTTCAGGCTTTCGCTCAGCCGCGACACGGGAGGGGTAGGAGGAGGGGTCATCAGACCTGGGTGGATCCGCGGTAAAGGCATTACATCATGCAGTCATAAAGCAACGAGCAGAAGGCCTCCAAGGTCCTGGGCATGGTCTTCTTCCTGTTTTTGGTCATGTGGTGTCCATTCTTCTTTACCAACATACTGTCGGTGGTGTGCGGGGATGGGGGGGGGGGGGGCTGCTGACTGTGTTTGTGTGGGTGGGATACCTCTCCTCAGCCGTCAACCATCTGGTATACACTCAACAAGACGTACCATGCATCCTTCTCCCGCTACATATGCTGCCAGTACAGCCCAAGGAGGAAGCCTCTGCAGCTTGTACTGGTCAACACCACCCTCCACTGGCATACAACTCCACTCAACTGGCCCTGCAGGAATTGGGTCCACAGCGCTGGAGGACCCAGGGATTCCTAGCTCTGTGGTGAGACTCAGGGGCCTTTTCTCAATACATAATCCTCACGTCCTCTCTCCTCTTTCCTCGCCTCCATCTCAAAACCCATTGGGTGAGATAGCCAGAGGTCTCTCCCCTCTGACCTTCTCCAATGGGTTTTGAAAAGGAGGCGAGGAGAGAGGACGCAAGCATTATGCAATTGAGAAAAGGCCATGCTGCCAGGAGCAGTCAGGAACAGGAAATAGGAAACAGGAGAGAGCATGGAGAATATATGCCTATGACAATATGTACCCTGTTGTACATGTCTAGCCCCCTGAAAGACGTGCACCAGTGTGACACCTGTGGGAAAACTTTGGTACCACCTGCCATCAATCCTGTCTGATGCCAGAGGCTATCCTGGACCCCACAGTAACTTCCTTGTTTAAGTAGGACAGCCTGATTTCTCTTCAAATCTCCTGGCATGACTGGTGAAGTGAGTACTCATTCACACAACATTAACCTTTTCATGTGTGAGTTCCAAATACTGTATCTCTAATGGCCCCCCAGCGTGAGTTTTCTTATGCGCATGATATCAGAATTCACTCACTGTTCTGAAATGTGATTGTTATGCAACAGGACAGTTAACCCACGCTGCCCTCAAACCAAGGCACACTGCCTGCTAATTATCTATAGGCTATGTTTCAACATGATTTTCTAAGAACAATTTGAAATGAGGTGCGTTCTGCCTCCTCATTAATTCACATTGAAGTATCCCATTTCACTGTTGCGGACAACTTACGTTTGAGGCATGCTATGCTAATGTAGGGCGAGTATGCAGACATTTGGCATCTCCATTCAGAACAGAACCTGCCCAAACTTTTTACCCCTGGCGCATTTTATGGCTGGCACCCGCATTGCCTTCACTGTTGTTTTCCTTACTAATAATTACTGTGTGCGTTCCTATCAAAGTAAGTGCCTTATTACTGTTGTGTCGAGAAAACGTTGCTAATTATGCTGTGAGACCAAGGAGAACCGCTGACGCTGTATTTTCATCATAAAGGTTTATTCATAACAAAGGGTTACAGCGTCGATTTACAGATACCTGCAGATATCTGGAGAATAATCGCCCCATCTCAAATATGATTATTCTGTCCTCCTTTGTTCAAAACATGGTATTTATATCCTATGCCCTATGTAATATAATATGGGTGGTTTTTCCTACCAACCAATCCCAGGAGGCCACCTAACAGACTTCCTCGGCTTTATGGTGCCCCTATAGAACTACTCCCCAGATGCTCCCTTTAAGCTGAGTCAACATCCTCTAAAACAATTTGAAACCATTAGCAAAGTCATAAATTCCTCAGATACTACATATTCCCCCCTTCGAGACAAATTAAGTCTCGAAAACAAAAAGAATAGGATTATGACAAATAACAATCTCTCTTATTGAGTATCTTTAACAATAAACCAAAAACACATTTTTCTATGGAGTGTAAATACATTTCTATGAAATATGAACAAATCTTTATGGAGTGTGAATACATTTCTATGAAATATGAACAAATCTTTATGGAGTGTGAGAGCGAAAAACCTGTCTGGCAGCTTTCTTTCCAAATATCCCTCCATCAATCAAGACAGTAAAATTCTCTCACGGCCCCTCTGCCCCAGGCAACCACCTAAGTACTCCAGATCAATTCATAAATCTTTATCAATGCATTTGAAACTATGATGCAATTTGAATACACATGAAAGCCTCAGCAAACAAAATACAATCCAAAACGTCCACATTCAGGCTGGTCAACCCATCGAACCCTCCTGTGGATTCTCTCTATCCCTGCCTAGACCCAATATCCCTAAGCATTCACGAAATAAACAAAAACATCTGAGATTCCCACATGTACCCAATAACAGCAAATATCATTCTACAAAAATTTATACAGAAAGAATCTGACACAAATTATGTATTACACATGCAAATATGTCTATATATCATTGCAGACACTTGAATGTAGTCCACTACACTTCATCTCCTCAGCAGTGTCGACTTCCAATGCAACGTCGATGATGGAATCGGCACATTTCCACACCTTCCTTGTTCCACTTCCTCCAGTCCATTCATATTCTCCTTTCATATTGTCCCTTCATATTGTCCTTGTTTGAGCATTTGAATCCCCTCTACATATTCCCCCATATACTTCTGGAAGAAAAGAAAAGACCAAACAGTGTCTTTTGCAAAAGAACACATTCAAATTAAAACATCAATATCAACTAAAAATATAAAAATGATATATAAAATGAATCACATTCTATTTCCCCCCTTTGATTCATAACAAAATACTAAAATCACACTAATATTGAAAACCTTTGATAATCAAAATTGATATCTATCTATCAATACTCCTTTGAGTCTTGACAGAAGGTTAAACCCTCTTATCGTTTCATTTGCAAAACCCTTCAAATTATAGGTAATATTATCTATATGATCTTCTCAAAATTTTACACCATATCATGGAAAAATCCCCACTTCTCTCTTAGACTTATCCTCCAATGGTAAGCTTCCCAGACTATGAAACTTCTCTCTTTCATAATCAGATTTATCTATGTCCCTTTCTTCCCCTCTTTTAATTTTAAAAACCTAATATGGAAGCTTCAACTTCAACATGTAACAACATCCTATCCATCCATAGGGTAAGAATATATTCTCTCACCACAAACCCCAGATGTTTCTAAAATCCCCCAATAGTCACATTACCATGCAAAAACTTCTCTCCTTACTAAATGAAACCTCAAAAGTTACATTATATTTCTCATTACTAACCTTATGTTCATGCTTACCCCAAAGTCATCATATAATCATCACCATCTGATATTCCCCTAAACATCCCTTTCCATCATATGTTTTATTAGAACAAAAACAGCTTTTAGCCCTCACTGGTTTCACCTCCAATGCTTCATGAAGCGCTATTAACTGATTTTCCTTCCTATCTAACAAATTCACATAGGGTAATTCATTTAACCAATAACACTTAGACCTATACCTAAACAAATGTTTCCACAACTACATTATTTTCTCTCTTAATGATTGCTGCTAATACAACATCCCTTATAAAACATAAGATTTACACATACTTGATAGAAGTTTAGCTACCTTCTAAGATTCAACCCCATTTTCTTTATGCTGAAATTCTCAACAGACATTTACCCTCAAGATTCCTCACTGATCTTACAGAATGAGGTAACTCCTTGAACTAAAGATTCCTACCTATAATAATAATAATAATAATATGCCATTTAGCAGACGCTTTTATCCAAAGCGACTTACAGTCATGCGTGCATACATTTTTTTTTGTGTATGGGTGGTCCCGGGGATCGAACCCACTACCTTGGCGTTACAAGCGCCGTGCTCTACCAGCTGAGCTACATAGGACCACTACCTGCCCATCCATCTTTAATTTTCCAAACAGAAAAATCAAATCCATATGCCTTCCATTTAGTTTCTCTCTTCCCTAACGAACTGTATTGATCAGATATATGTTCTTGTCTTTCATTAAAATCAAAGAACTCATCCTGTACCTCCATGATAGTATTCTGCACTATTTCAGATGAATCTGCATCATTCTCTACTACCATCTGCTCTCCTATCTCAACACTATCCTTACTACCATTGACAGCACTCTCCATCCGTATCATAAACTCCTTAGTCACTCTTGTTACATCCTTTAGTTTCAGAAAAGTTGTTGTTGGTGTCTGTGTCATATTTCCTACATTTGTTATTGCTGTCTTACCATTAACCTCTTTCAAAGTTACTATTAAAATAGTTGCTTTAGTTGATGTATTAACACCCTTAACTATTTCCAGTGGGAAAGTTACAGATATCCTCTGTGTAGTATTTACTGTTGGAGTGGCTACTGTAATATACTTCTCTTGAACTCCCTTGGTGACTGTGGAAGCTTCAACAGACTTCAAATCTTCCATCATGAGCGTCATCTTACGAGTTACATAGCCTTTTAACCAATAATTCTTAACCGGAACAAATTTTAATGCTTGCACTAGATAAGTACACATATATTCTCCCTGATCTTTCCATGTAACATTACTCAAAATAAGTGAGCAATCACTCATAACCCTCTTCCACTTCATATCGTTGTACAAAATATACTTCCTTTGACTAGATGAAACAGCTTCTACTTCTTATCCTCATAACAACACTTCTTCTCCATAATTATCTCTCCATCTGGGAGGAACCTCACCTCTACACATTCCTTCTCTCACATCTACAAGGAAGATGAGCTGTATCACCCATCCTAACCCTGATGACAGTCTTTTCCTCTAAAATTGGTGCTGGAGCGATTGGCTCCCTTGTAATCAAATGTGATATATTTATAGCTTTAATAACTGTCAATGTTGAAAGAGTTAAATTGCTTCTCACTGTTGTTATAATATGCTGAAGTGTTGATGTCATTGTTGTTGATTCATCTATTTTCCCTAAGGCTTTGAACAATTTACTTGTATTTCCATCTATCACCACTAGTGTCACTACATTAACTCTCAGTCCCAACTCTAATCCCTCACTTTCAAACTGTTGATAAAAAAAATACACTTATAATCACCTTGATCTTCCTGCTGGGAATTGTAAATATAGATACTACAATCACCCTCAATCTTCTCTTATCATTCAGCAACGCATACTTTCTCAATGCAACTGCTCCTAACAGATCTAAACTCCTACCATATCTATCTTCCCACTGAACTCTAAATGTCCCTTCACCACTGTTCTCTCTCTCTTCCTACTAACATTGAAGCTTAGCTGACTGTCCTAGAGTTCCTTCAACCCTAGTTTTCCTAACTTTTTTTTAAATCTGACTTTTCTCCTAACTTTTTCAAAAACCATTTCACTGATTCATCCACAAATTCCTTTCCCACTAATTTTAGAAAAACCATTTCACTGATTTATTCACAAAATCCTTTCCCACTAATTTTAGGACATGTGATCGGGTAATCCCCACCTGCTTATGACTTCTTTACACACAGACTTGGAAAACGATTGAGCATCTT